GGTGAATTGGGGCCTGTTTTCCAGTAAACTTGCTTGCGTGGCTTCGAACTCTGTAAGTGAGGATGTCCTCATGTCTGTGATGTTGCCAGTCATGCAGCTGTTGGGAGGAATCCAGGTCATATCCATAGTTTACATTCTTGGCAGTGTCGACCACGTATTCGGTCTGGAATCCTACATCATCGTGACTGACCTTCTGTTTATTCATCCTGAAAGGATGAAGAAAAACAAATAGTAAAATTTCCTGTTACTGATCCGTTATGAGGTCAATTTTTTTTTGCTTCGCTCATTTGAAGCTTACAACTCGTAACGAAAGGAAAAAATAGTTTTAATACCGTGACCCAGTATTAGCAATTATCACGTTTAGGTTTTCCTTTTTAGATAGCAGCAAAGCTGTTTTCAACGTATGGAGGAAAGATCCCTTTGAGTGCATTTGATTGAGTGTGTTTGTCGTAACGTTGCAATAAAAGAAAAAAAGGAACTAGTAGCGAATGAAACTCAAAGAAAACAAAAGTGAACTGGGCTAATGATAGGAAAACGCGCATGACAGATAAACGATTGAGGCTTAAGCTTTGAATCTGATTTATCGAGTTATGCTTGATTGTTCATTGAAGTTTCCTCTGATTAGTTGGGATGGCGACGGCTTTTTTAAAAGATCAGTCAAGGAGCGTAGGGGAGTAATATTAGTAAAGACTTCTAGAGAAGCCATTGGACAATATAGGAAAAATATCCCTATGACTTATTACTTTGCGATCCATTTCTCTATGTCCTTCCTCATGGCTTCCTTGTCAGGGAATTTTAGCTCCCCTGTGATTCTCTGATATTTTCTTGGTGGTACTGAAAACTAGTTACTAGTTTCCCAGGAGTATTTCCAGAGCCCTCCCCAGTTCGACTGCTTGTCGAAGCATACAATGTCAGGAATTTCTTTGCCTTGTTCTTTCAGTTTATTGAAGTGATACAACACTGACATACCCGGCTGGGACCTGCACCAATCACACAGACACGCTTTTCTTTGGACATCTTTACGTTTGTTGTTTCCACTGTCGAGAAAAAGATAGCGTATTAAGTAGTATTTTCAATTTGGTCACAATGAATGTATTAATTTATTTGATTGAATTGCGAGCAGATCCCTTTCTGGTAGAGACGTTTTCATTAACATTTGTCTAACTTTCAACATGTGGCACTGTAAATCAGTTGGTAGCTAGTAACGCCCAATCAGTAGCTGGTGTCGTATATCAGATGGTAATGACGCTCAACTAGTATCTAGGTAGGCAACTAGTATCTGGCTAAGAAACCCGTCGAAGCCTGGAGTTTTTTAGGGTTCTTTCCTGCAATTTCTTTAATCACGGCTAATCTGCGAGGATCATTTCCAAATTCCTGTTCGTTTTTTTGAAAAAAAAGAAGAAAAAAGTTAAATAGGATGACAGGTTATATCTTAGTATAGAAGTGACTCGCCGCTTCAAGATCTTAAAAGACCTAGTGAAAATCGAGAAATGTGCAGGGTTCTCAATTGAAGCTGTAACCCATAACACCTGTGACGGGTGTCAATGGCAAGTGTTGCGGCTGTCAAAGCGCTTCGACTAGAAGATCAGTTCGTCTATTAAATCCAAATAAAAGAACGACATTTAGAGGACTAAGGTAAGTGAGGTTAGTGTTGACTGTTAGTCGGTTTTAGTTTTCGAAATGAATAGCCTGTCAGCAGAATGACCGCATAATCGCCATTCTTGGCAACGTCTCCACAACGTTGAAATATGGCCGCCATACCGAAGTTTTAAATTCTAGCCCAGGCCTCTCGCAAATGTTGTCTTCCAACATGTATGCTAAAACATGGCCGCTGTGAAGCGAAAGGGGCCCAAGATACATGACCTTTGGCCATGTATTTTAGTATTATGCGTGGAAGTAGCACAGCAACGACTGAAAAAAGTCAGAGAACCCTGATGAGGCATATGGTCATAAAATTGAAAACCTTCATATTTTGCCCAGAGATACGTTATTGCGTTATTGTGAACTTAGAAACGTGGTAGGG